CAAAAAAAAAACCGCTCCATTAGCCTTCCCATAAACTAAATAAATTCCAGGAATCTTAGAGATGTAAATATAAAAATGAAGCCGAAACAAATCACAGAATAATATTTTTTCATTTCAAAGTTAACTTTTATTGCTTTTTATAAACCTAATTACAAAATGATATACTTAATTGTAGACCATGTAACAAACATGAAAAAGTGAAAATCTCCCTCAGTCTCACCACACAGAATACATTTTAACATTTTGTTGTCTGTCCTTCCCAACTTTGAAGAACCATGCGACTGGCGCGGAGCTTTGAGCAGGGACTGCCCGGTGACGTGCGATGCGCCCGAGCGCCAGCAGGGGCAGTGGGGAGCAGGCCCCGCGGGGAGGCGGCCGTGCGTGGGGGCCCCCGTGCTGCCCAGAGCGGCCGGCGCCCTGTGGGGGGACCCCGCGCGTGCCTCGGGGGCTCGGCTGACTTCTAGCTCGGAAAGCGCGGAGTCCTGACCCCCTGAAGCCTGTCTCTGGGATTCCGGAGAGGCAAGGTGCGTGGAGACAGCGCGAGGTCCTGGCGGTCCCTTCCTGCGCGCTCCTCGGGGTCCACTCGCGTCGGTGCAAAGACTGTCCCATGCGATCCCACTGCGGTGTCAGCAAGCACTGCCCTTTGAGAACAGAAAAGCAGCCTCCCAAGTGGATGCATCTGCTGCCCTCGAAGACTGTCCTCCTCCAGGGTGACTCTAGAGGTCTGCCCACCCTCCGACCCGCTGTCACCCGCCCCCCCTTCACAAGGGACACTGAGACCCGACCCCAGGGGAAAGGAGGAGGGCCGTGAGTGCAGGTGGCAGCGGAGCCTCAGGAACATGCATGGGTGAGGGGCCATCCCAGCTGCATGCTAATAGGGACAATGACACACGACAGACAGGACATCTCGGTGACATGGAATAGGAGGATGTTTGTCAAGATAAGGTTTTGAACTGCAAACCACCTGGGCTGAAGGCGGTGCTAAACCACTGAGCTACCCAGGCTGCCCAAACCATTGCTTTTAAAGCACTGTATACAAAGGGTGGTTATATTTAAAAAAAAAAAAAAAAAGGTGGTTATACTTTTATTGTCGTGAACTCAGTCAGTGAAGCAGAAAAACGAAATAGGACCTAAGTTGGAGGATTGGGAAATAAGAGTCAGCCTCAGAAACAGCATGTGAGGGCAGCCCTGGTGGCGCAGTGGTTTAGTGCTGCCTGCAACCTGGGAGACCCGGGGTTGAGTCCCACGTCGGGCTTCCTGCATGGAGCCTGCTTCTCCCTCTGCCTCTCTCTCTCTCTCTCTGTGTGTGTCTCTCATGAATAAATACATAAAATCTTAAAAAGAAAAAAAAGAAACAGCATGTGAGAGCAGGGGAAGAAAAGTAAATAGTGTCTGTCCTATGAACAGTGCCAGTGCCGGTGACACAGGCTTTTAAAAACCCAGGTTGGGCACCTGGGTGGCTCAGTCCGTGAAATCAGGTCAGGTCATGATCTCTGGGTCCTGGGATGGAGCCCCACATTGGGCTCCCTGCTCAGTGGGGAACTTGCTTCTTCCTCTGCCTCTGCCCCGCCCCATTCATCTCTAATAAATAAATAAATTAATTAAATCTTTAACAAAAAATAAAGTATTTCAGTCGTTTTTTTTAAATTTTTATTTATTTATGTTAGTCAACAGAGAGAGAGAGAGGCAGAGACACAGGCAGAAGGAGAAGCAGGCTCCATGCACCGGAAGCCCGACGTGGGATTCGATCCCGGGTCTCCAGGATCGCGCCCTGGGCCAAAGGCAGGCGCCAAACCGCTGCGCCACCCAGGGATCCCCTTCAGTTGTTTTTAGGATATTCACAAATAACCACCATCATTATCTAATTCTGGAACAATTCATCAATGCAAAAAGAAGCCCTGTACCCGCATCAGTCACCCACCTCTGCATTGCCTTCTCCCAGAATGACCTGTGTCTATGCATTTGCCTATTGTGGACCTGCCATGAAAGTGGAACTATGTGGCCTTTGTCTCTGGTTTCTTAAACTTGACATGCTTCTAAGTTTTCTCCATGTTGTGGTGTGTACCAGGACTTCATTCCTTTTGATGACCAAGTAATGTTCCATTATGTGGGTCTGAGATGTTTCCTTTATCTATCCATCAGTTGATAGACTTTCTGATTGTTTCCACTTTCTTTAGTATTACAAATAATGCTTCTATTAACATTCATGTACAAGTTTTTGTGTAGACCTATGTTTTCCCTTCTCTTTGGGTGCATATCCAGGAGTGGGATTGCTGTGTCCTATAGTAATTTTATGTTTAACTTTCTCAGAAACTTTCAAACTGTTTTCCAAGGCAGCTGCCCCATTTTACATTCCCACTGGCAATACATGACGGTTCCAATTTTTCCACATCCTCTCCAAATTTTGTTATTACCTTAAAAAAATTAGTTATCTTAGTAGGTGTGAAATGCTATCCCTCTGTGGTTTAAACTAGCATTTCCCTGGTGGTGAATAAGGTTGGGCATCTTTTCATGAGGTTATTTGCCATTTGTAGATCTTCTTTGGAGAAATGTGCTCTCAAATCCTCTCTCCATTTTAAAGTTCTGTTATCTTTTTACTGTTGAGTTGTAAGACTTCTTTATATATTCTGAATTTTAGAACCTTATCAGATATATGATTTGCAAGTATTTTCTCCCATCCTATGACTGTCTTTGGATTTCCTGATAGTGTTCTTTGGAGCACAAAAGTTTTAATTTTAAGAGCTTTAGAGGTTTAGCTTCTACATTTAGTAGTTCTTTGATCCATTTGGAGTTAGTTTTTGCATATGCTATAAGGGAGGGTTCCAAGGTTTTCTTTTTTTTTTTTTTTCCTGGCATCTGGCTATGTAGTTGTCTCAGCGCGATTTGTTGAAAAGACTGTCCCCCCCCCCACTGAATTATCCTGGCATTCTTGATGCAAATTAATTACCCATATGTATAGGTTTATTTCTGGACTCTGAATTCTACCCCATTGATCTATATATGTATCCTATGCCAAAACCACACTCTTGGTTACTTGTAGCTTTGTATAATTTTTTTTAAGATTTTATTTATTTATTCACGAGAGACACACACACACACAGAGAGAGAGAGAGAGAGAGAGAGAGAGAGGCAGAGGCATAGGCAGAGGGAGAAGCAGGCACCATGCAGAAAGCCCGATGTGGGACTTGATCCCGGATCTCCAGGATCACACCTTGGGCTGCAGGCGGCACTAAACCACTGTGCCACCGGGGCTGGCCAAGAAGTCCTTTAATAAATGCTTCTCGAATTAGAGAATCAGGCAGAACAAGGAGCTCATGACTCTAGGCCAGACCAGGAAGCTTGAGTCAGAGAATTGTGGCTACTAGGTTTGTGGGTGGCCTGCAAAGAGTGCCAAACAGAAACTGTGAACTGGAAGGGGCCCCCGAGGTTGCCTCATTCTGGAGCTTTCAAACCTCTTCTATGACCACAATATGATACATGACATTAGATAGGCAGAGGGGACAGAAAAGGTGGAGGGGGACATGGTGGAAATGGGCCCAGTCTGTGGAATTCCCTCAGCAGCCTGAAACACCACGATAAGGCCAAGTTTGTAAAAATGATTGAACAAGTCCAGTATTCTGATTTTACAGACCAGGGAAAGGGTACTCTGGAGAAGTGACTTGTTTAAGGTCTCACAATTAGTGGTGGAGTGGGAAAAGGACTCAGATGTGACTCCCACTCACAGAGTGTTCCCAGACTGAACCAGACCCTGAGGAGTACCTTCCAAGCATCCACCATCCCTGATGCATGAAGAATTCCACTAAGCAAGCTCTCCATGGTTTAAAGCAGCGTCCCCATGCAGTGTATTTTAAAAGTAAAGTTAGGGGCATTGGGTGGTTGAGTCGGTTAAGCCTCAGATTCTTGATTTTGATTTGGTCATGATTGCAGTGTCTTCAGATGGAGCCCCAGGTCGGCACCACTGGGCATGGAGCCTGCTTGGGATTCTTTCTCTCCCTCTCCTCCTCCCCTCTCTCTAAATATAAATAGGGGCTCCTGGGTGGCTCAGTCGGTAGTGTCTGCTTTACCCTCAGGTCATGATCCCCACGTGGCTAGCTCTCCGTTGGGGGGGGGGGGAGTCTGCTTCTGCCTCACCCTCTGCCTGCCGCTCAGCCTGCTTGTGCTCTCTGGTGAGTGAGTGAATTTTACAGGAAAATTAGATGTGACAAACAGTAATGTGGCAAAGTTTTCCCGGAAAATGCCACTTTTCCATTTCGCAGTTCCAGGAGTATGCGCTTCCGTTACCGGAAATCCTGAGATAGGGAGCTGGTGTGTCTGTGGGGGGTGTTCAGGTGTTAGTTCTTCGGTGGTGCGCGAGGCTGAGGTACAGTTTGTGTGCATGCGGCATGTGCAACTCCTCAGCGGAGCCTCACACCAGGCAAGTGCCAGGTCCTCAGCCGGCCCCCAACGGGCCGGGATCCGCCCTAGCTAGCTCCAGCCCCCAACCCCCGCCTGCAGCCCCACGCAGCGTCTCCGTGGACCCCACCAAAGCAGGTCCGCCCGAGTGAGGGCGCGCGTCTTCCGCATCTTCGCGGCACCAGTTCCAACCGGGCAGCTGCCCCCACAGGGTGATGAACCTACTGCAACCGCCGAACGACCGTCCCCGGGCTGAGTATCCATCCCCGCAAACTACCCCCGAGGGGCCGCTTCTTCGCCGCCCGTCGACCCGCCCAGGCAGCCTTGCGCGCTGCCTGGAGCTTCCTTCCCCAGCTCTGGGACCAGGACTAGCTCAGCGTTGCAGCCAATGCTGTGCTCGGCGTCCCGAGGGCTGGCCAAGACGATTCCCTCGCATCCCGGGGGCTGCAAGCTAACCGGAAATAGAACTGCCCCGAACCCCAGGAAACTGGCGTTCGCGGGCGAGCTTCCGCCACATCCGCGGAGGGCAGAGCGCCTCCCCCACGCCTGGACTTCCGGGCCCACGTGCGCCTCTATGATGTCCGCAGCCTAGAGGGACCGACCGGCACTTCCGGGAAGATGGCGGCGCATAGAACGGGCGACGCACGTGTTCGCGCGGAGAGGGCCCCGCGGTGACGGTAAATGGCTACTGCGCCCCGAACGGAGTCAGTCGGAGCCTGGGCTCAGGAGTGAAGGTGGGGCAGGACAGTGTCCTTGGCCGTTGGAACTACGGCATGAGGGAGGCCAGGGTCGGGGTAGCGGCCCTTTGGAAGCGCTGTCAGATGGGTGGTCCTGGGACCCTTTTCCAGAAAACTCAGAGAGTTGATCAGAGAGGGGACGGTTCCAGAGAACGCGCTCGCAGCCTTCCCGGGCCCGCGGGGCACAGCGTGGGGCCTGGTTGCTTCTGTGCAATTACCATGGGCAGTCAGCTGAAGCCGCCGGGATCTGGGTGGTACCGCTGAGCGCATTCCACTCCTGCATTAAGTGCACGGGGTTGCGGAGTAAAGCCCGACCCTGATGCGGGGGCGTGTAGTTCCGAATGGCTGTCGTGGTAAACCTCAAGGCGGGCAGCGCGAAGAGCTGTGAGAGACCAGTTCTGGGATGCCTGCGATCCTGGATCTGCAACTTGCCAGCTCTTTGGGCAAATAATAAACTTATCTGTGATTTCTTCTGTTTGCAAGTGTCGGTAATAATATTTCCTAAGGGGACTGTTGGGAGGATGAAATCAGACGATCTGTGTAAAGAGGTTAGCAGGCTGGCATTGAGTAAAATGACTTTTAGACACTTGTTATTACGAAGATCTGGGGGCTGATGGATGAGAGATAACTTCCGGGAGGAGGCCGAGTTTTGAGGTGCCCTTAAAAGACCCCAGTGTTCGAATTTTACATTTCTTAAAATTCAAGAAGTAAGATAGAGCCGTTTCTTCGCTTGGCTTTTTTGTTGGGATTCTCAAGGTACCTGGTTTTCGGGTGATCGTTCTTCATAGTAGAAATGTGAACAGAAATGTAAGTCATCCTGAATTTGCCTGCTCTAAATACCAAGCCAGAATGGGCAGCATTCTTAAGCCTATACATATATTTAGGAGACGTGACTTCATGTGATGTGGCTGATTAATATCATGTTCACTGGGCCTTCTTAAACACAAATGCAAGTTTTACCCTAAAGAATTGTCACATTGGGAGGCTTAGGGTTACTCCACTAGTGCCATTAATCCTTAAAAGTGATCTGCAATCCCTGTGATGAGTTACGTTAATACAAGTTAACTTTAGTGAGTTAAGTCAGCAGTGGTGGTCCTAGTTTTGTGTGTCTCGTGTGATAAGCTGGATAATGCCATTCTGGGCTCCCAAAGGAGAAGCGCCTAGATGACTAGTAATTGTGATGGGATGGAGGCCTCGTTGGAGGTGGGCAACCTGGGCTTGTATTCCGGCTCCATCTCTTATTAGCTATGTGACGCAGGCTTTGTTTTCTTTTCTTTTTTTTTTTTTAATTTTTATTTATTTACGATAGTCACAGAGAGACAGAGAGAGAGGCAGAGACACAGGCAGATGGAGAAGCAGGCTCCATGCACCGGGAGCCTGACGTGGGATTCGATCCCGGGTCTCCAGGATCGCGCCCTGGGCCAAAGGCAGGCGCTAAACTGCTGCGCCACCCAGGGATCCCCAGGCTTTGTTTTCTTTGCTTGTAAAGTAAAGGTAATTGTTATCCACAGGACTATCAGGATTAAATAAGACAATACAACAGTATGTGTAATCAATCTGTGATGCATGAAATGATCAGTGAGATGGACAGTTTCAAAAGGGCTGTTCCAACAAGAGTGAAGAGCAGCAGTGAGGAAGAGGTGCAGAGCCCCCACACTTGAGGTGACAGCCCTGGAGCATCGTTATGAGATACGGGCTCCGCTGAGTATTCTTATAACTCAGGCTAAAAATCTCTTATCACCTTTTTTTACATGGCAGTAAATCTAGGGAGCTGTTAACCATGTCGTGGCAAAGAGCAGGGCTGTGCCGGCAGGCCATCTGGTTGACCTGGAGCAAGTCACGTTTCCTCATTTGTGAAGTGCAGATCATAATACTTTCCTGAATGCAAAGTTTAGGAACCCTTTCTGGGCTGGGAACATTAAACACTCATGTGGTGAGCTCTCCGTAAATTTGGGTGTTATTAGTAACACCAGTCTTACTTGACTTTTCAACATGCTGATGATCTCTGTGGTCAGCAGGGAGCTCTCCCAAAGACCAGGCCTCCTCCCTTTGTCTACCCCACATTCAGAAAAGAATTTTTATGAGACCAGTCAGGATGGATTGGATGGATGATTTGAGCACTTTCTCCTTTCTTTTAAAGGGATGATAATGGCCTCTTCTCTGGTGAGGGCCTGAGGATAGTGACTCTTCTCTCACCATGAGTGCCACCCCAGAGATCAAGAGTCGTGGGATGAAGTTTGCTGAGGAACAGCTGCTAAAGCATGGATGGACGCAAGGTCATCCCTGGGGGGCCCCTTCCACGTCCCCCCAACTCCCTGCCCACCTTGTGGCCAGGTGAACAGCGTCATCTGGGGCTTACCCGTATGTAGTCCATTCAGCTGGAGGAGGAAAAGCCAGTTTAAAGGGCAATTTGCAGAAGACAATTTCTAAGTTTCCAGAAAATGGTTGGGTAGAAGAAATTTGACAGTAGGTCATGAGAGCAAAGTGATCGGGGGGATGGGGGAGGGAGGAAGGGTCATGACTTCTGTCCTGAAAGAATCATGAAGGAAAAGACGGCTTGGACTCAGACAAAGGCAGGGGCACTGTATGGAGAGGTGCCAGAAAGTGGGACTGGAAGGCGTCTGCCAGGGATGGAGCACACTTGGTGTGTGGTGTGGCGAGGAGCAGCACATGGGATGCCTATGAGGGCTCGGGGCAGGCAGCAGAATAAACCCAGTCACTCACTTTCCTGCAGGCAAAGGCTTGGGCCGGAATGAGAATGGCATCACCCAGGCCCTAAGGGTGACACTGAAGCAGGACACTCATGGGGTAAGACTGGGAAGGCATGGATGGGAAACGAGGCCCCGAGGACAGGATGGGGCAGGGACAAGTCTTGAGCTCATTCTTATCTGGCAGGTGGGACATGACCCTGCCAAGGAGTTCACGGACCACTGGTGGGATGACCTTTTCAACAGGACTGCAGCCAGCTTGGTTGTGGAGGCTGGGCAGGTATGGGGTGCTCATGGGCATGTGGGGGTGAGGGGCACACCTGTGTCACTCATTCACTGACACCTCCCCACAGGATGGAGTACGGATAAAGCGTCTTTCAAAGGAAACAGGCCGTCATAATCATCCCAAGCCCAACTTGCTGTATCAGAAGTTTGTGAAGGTATTCGGGGCTGGGAGTGAGAGAGTCCCTCGTTTTTCCTTCCCTGGCCTCCCCCAGGGCCTGAACAATGGCTTCATGTGCCTTACCCATCCTTACCTGTTGGAGAACTATCTTAACATGGTCAGTCTTGTGACCAACCTTGCTGTTGCTTGCTTAGCCTGCCCAGACCCTATGTTAGAATTAGATCTTCAGGTCTCCTGGATCCCTACCTTCTGCTGAGGGCAGTGATGGGGAGTGGGTGGTGGGGCGGGAGGGGATGTCCAGTTCAAAGGACTTAGAATCCAGAAGGGACCTGAGAGATTATCTGACCCATCCTCTATTTTGCAGTTGGGGTCACAAGCAGGGAGAAGTGGCTTACAGACAGGACCAGAATCTGGTGCTTCAGACCCCTATTTCCTAGCAGAGCAATAGAAGGGAGCTAATTAATGTTCAGTGATCATCTGTTATGTGGGTCCTCTGTGTTATATAGCAAGTTTTTCTTGCTTCTCCTCTTCCTTATGGCCATAATCCTCTCCTGCCTGATTTCGTTCACAGCCTCATAGCCAGACCCCTCACCCTGTCACTGCCCACCCCAGTCAGTTCACTGACCCAGTGACTAGAATGCTGACAGATTTCACTAGGACTCTGGCTCATCCTTGACCTGGGATGACAGTCCTGATGTGTCAGACTGGCTCATAAGGCTCTGAGGCCTTGACCTGTACTCACCCCTTTCCGGACCTCTAATACTTTTAGCCAGATGGAATCAGATTCTTCTGAAAGTACCACCTCTTTTCACCTGCAAGATTTTGCACTTCCCACTCACTGCCTGCAACAGTCTGCTGCCTTTCCCCCTTTACCTGCCCATTTTGATGGTCCTCTAGAGCTCACCAAGTTCCTGAAACTTTCCCAGACCCTGAAGTTGGATTGGTTATCCTCCTCTAGCACAGGCAACACTCTGCATCTGCCTATGTTCTGCATCCTTCCTTCACCCCACACGTAGATTCCATATGGGCTGACTATCTCATTTGTGTTCCATTCTGTATCCTCAACCCATTGGTCCATAGTAGGTTCTCAGTCTGCTTAAATAAAAGCACTCCAGGGACACTTGGATGGCTCAGTGATTGAGGATCTGCCTTCGGCCCAGGGCGTGATCCCAGGATCTGGGACCGAGTCCCACATCAGACTCCCTGTGTAGAGCCTGTTTCTCTCTCTGTCTGTGTCTCTGCCTCTCTCTCGATCTGTGTCTCTCATGAATGAATGAATGAATGAATGAATGAATGAATAAGATCTTTAAAAAAAATAAAAGCACTCCACCGTAGGTGTGGGGGAGGGCGGTGAGAAGCACCATCTTAATTATCAGTAGCACAGGGAACACACCAGGTGGACCTGGTACACTCCTCCGTCCCTTGTTCCCACCCACTGGGCACCCTCCAACCCTTGCAGCTGCAGCCCACCTCCTAAGTTGGAAGTAAGCAGTGGCCCACCTCTCTGTGAGTCTGCAGGGAGCTGTCTTGGGGGCTGGCAAACTTGTGCCTATGGCTCTTAATTCCTGAGGGGGTTCTGGGAGGGAAGGGGGTTTGGCAGTGGTTTGGAATCAGCTTTATCCACCCCTGTGATCACCCCTTTAGACAGCCACACTGACTTCAGGTGGGGAGAAGCCAGACAAGGACTTGGAGAGCCACAGTGATGATGACAACCAGGAGCCCAAGCCTCCAAAGATGTGAGACCTCATTTCAGTGCTGGGGGCATATGGAAGGAGAGGCCTTTGAATATTAAGAGAAAGGGCCAAATCTCAGGCCTGACTGGGCTTCTTTGGCTGGAACTGTGTTGTACTCATTTTTGTATACCCTGCACCAAGAAAGTGCCAGGTCCTGAATGGGAACTCAGTGTTGAGGGAATGTTTTAGAGGGCAGGAGGGGTCAGGCCTTTGCAAGAACTGGTTTTGATTCCTGATCTTCCCCCAACAGCCTGACTGATGAGATGCTGCTCCAAGCCTGTGAGGGGCGCACAGCCCACAGGTAAGTAGTGGTCAGCTCCTTGGGCTTCCTTCTGCCCATCACAAGTCCAGCCCTGAGGATGGTCTGTGCCCCTTCTTGGCATTTCCTGCCCATCCCTGAGGCTCCTGAGGATAGGCAGCTCCTCCCCATCCAGAGTTGCCTGCCTCCAGAGGACTATGCCTCTTTTTGCTATACCTTGCTCTGACCTGGGCCCCTTTTGTTTCAGGGCTGCTCGTCATGGAATCACGATGAAGGCTAAGCTTGCTCGGTTGGAGGCCCAGGAACAGGCCTTCCTGGCTCGTCTTAAAAGCCAGGACCCTGGGACCCCTCAACTGCAGTCTGAGAGTAAGCCTCTCAAAAAGAAGAAAAAGAAAAGGAAGCAGAAAGAGGAGAAAGCGGTCACAGCAACCACCAGAAGTGCAGAAGAGGAGTGCCCAGAAGAGGCTGGCCAGGCCAGAAGCAGGAAGAAGAAAAGACGGCAACAAGAAGCCCAAGAAGAAGCTGGGATAGATGAGAGGGAGGGAGCAACCGTTGGTAATGTGGATGCAGAGGTGGCAGAAAGGAGCGGGCCTGCAGAGTGGGAGAGCAGAGAGCAAGCTGATGAGCCCTGCAGGAAAAGAAAGAGGAAGGGCTCGGGGATCTCAGATGGAGGGGCAGGCAGCCAGGAGGCCACAGCCAGCACAGGGACAGGGCAGGCAGAGAGGTGGTGGCAGCCGGAGGAGGGGGACTGGAACAGAGAGGAAGATGATGAAGGGGCTGCTGTGGGGGCCAGCAAAGCAGCACATAAAGCACACCAAGATGGGAAAAGCAGGAAAATCAAGAAGAAAAGCCTGCAGCCCCAGGAGAAAGAGGAGGAAGTCAGGAATGAAGGACATGAGGAGGGCAGCAGGACTAGGGAGGCAGTGAGCATAGTGCACACCAGCTCCAGCCACAGAGGTGAGAGGAGGTGGCAGGAAAGAGCTGGAGTCAGCCCTGACCAAAGACTGAGAAAGAAGAAACAGAAAAAGAAAACCTGAAGGTCAGGTCAAGGTGGGGCTCTTCGGATTCCTTTTCAGGAGCTAAAGCCTCAGACCTGAATCGACACAGGTCCCCTGCACCCTTGCAGTGAAGAGACCCTCCCAAGGAGGACGCTGAACTCTGGAACTCCAGCTGCTCAAAGTTGGGTGTGGACATGGTATTGTCTGCGGTTTCTAACCCTGACATGGAAAACTCAGGAGCCTGGCAGTGGTAGGATGCAGTGCTCTGGGGCTGTGGGGATGAGCAGGCAGACGCCCTCTGGAGGGACATCCTTGCTTAAGACAGCTGCAAACAGGGATCCCTGAGTGGCGCAGCGGTTTGGCGCTTGCCTTTGGCCCAGGGCGCGATCCTGGAGACCCGGGATCGAATCCCATATCGGGTTCCCGGTGCATGGAGCCTGCTTCTCCCTCTGCCTGTGTCTCTGCCTCTCTCTCTCTCTCTGTGACTACCATAAATAAATAAATTTTAAAAAAATTTAAAAAAAAAAAAGACAGCTGCAAACACAGCAAGTGTGAGAGAGAATCCGGCCCACAGGCTGCCAGCCCCAGCACTGTAGTACACAATTCAGCATCAGCTCGGGTTCCCAGCCTGGGAACATCCTGAATACAACAAATTAGTTTCCTCGAATGCCTCCAGAGAAATTACTTATTAACCTTCCATAGCATCTGAAAGCCTATTTTCATTGCCCCCAAATGCCACAGCCACCTTCCTTGCCTGTTTTGTTCCCTCAGAGAGGTGGCACCGAGTCTCAGTGTTGCTTTCTGACTTCTGCCACCCATTAACCATTATTGCCAAGAAAGTTCCCAGGACCCCACAGCTCTGGAGAGAGTCACTAAGTCTTTATTGGGAAGAATGCCCATTCATCTTCCCTCACTGAAGACGGTAGACACACTCAGTGTCAGGGTAAGGTGGCAAATTCAACTGGTACTTCTTTTCTAGAGCAGGTGGTACAAAACGACCTCCCAGATAGTGGTAGCGACCAGTGAATTGGGTTGCAGACTTTTTGGGTGCTGTCAGGGAGATGAGCAAGTCTGGCTGGATCCCTCCAGAGTTTCCCTTCTCCACATCCCATCCTGAAAAGAAGGTGGTATTCAGGAGAGGAAAAGGCCAGATAGGTCTCCTCCTCTTCCATACCTTGCTCTACCCTAGTTCTGAAGGAGTGGGAGGCCCTGTGTCCCCACCCAAGAACTTGCATCCTTGAAGGTCCATGTACGCACACAAGGTCACTCCTAAACTCTGCTCCCTGGCCCTTTTGGGGAATCCATAAAGCAATGTTCTGCCCCTCTAGACACACCTACCTTTAACTTAGGCCTGAGCCTTGCCTATCTCAAGACAGGGCAGGGCTGCATCCACATCCTCATCCCCACTCTCACCCCCACCTTCCTTGGACACAACACCTGAAGGAATGTCGATGCTTGCAATGGGCACAGTGAGCCCATCCAGGACACTCAGGATGGTGCGGAATGGCTCTCGAACATCACCTTTGAAGCTGAAGCCAAAGATGGCATCCACCACTAGCTCATACAGCTCATCAATCAGCATGGGCTGTGGAGCAGAAAGGAGAAAGCACGTCAGAGCCAGGTGCTGCACAGTTTCCTCAACAGGAAAGGGCTGTCCCCTGCATGCACTATTTGCAGAAGCATAAATACTTCATCTCATTCAGATGGTATTCTGGGGCCTAGACATCAGTGCAAGTTGGTCACTGATTTAGGCTGAGTCCAGAGACGCTTTCTGTTCTCAGTGCCTGCCTGCCACTGAGAAGGTATAGTGTAGGACCACCTGAGGCTGGGACTCCGGACAAACCACTTGCCTTCTCTGGACCATCTCAGTCTCTTCATCTAAAGTGTGTTAAACTTAAAAAAAAAGTTCTAGGGATCCCTGGGTGGCTCCGCGGTTTGGTGCCTGCCTTTGGCCCAGGGCGCGATCCTGGAGTCCTGGGATCGAGTCCCACGTCGGGCTCCCGGCATGGAGCCTGCTTCTCCCTCTGCCTGTGTCTCTGCCTCTCTCTCTATGTCTATCATAAATAAATAAATAAATCTTTTTTTTTTTTTTTTAAAGTTCTTTCCCATCCTTAAACCCATGTCCCTGCAGGAAGGGTTTTTAGGATGTGGCAGTCACTTCAGCCCTTGAAAAGTGGATGAGTGCAGCGCCGGTGGCTCAGGACTTTAGTGCTGCCATCAGCCCAGGGCCTGATCCTGAACACCCGGGATCGAGTCCCACGTTGGGCTCCTTGCATGGAGCCTGCTTCTCCCTCTGCCTGTGTCTCTGCCTTTCTCTGTGTCTCTCGTGAATAAATGAAAATCGTAAAAAAATAAAAAAAAAGACAGCATGTTTACTGCTTGCAGGACAAGACCTGCCTTCGAAGGGAAAGGTCCTCCTGCTAGGAGTCCACCCTCCAAGGGAAGGTAAGCAAGTGAGCTCGGCCTGAGTACTCAAGGAAGAGCAGAACATGCACCGTGTTTCTGGAAGAGGGCACTCAGCGGGCACCACCTACCTCTGGGGGCATTTCACCGAGGAAAGGGATGTCCATTTTCTGACACTGGGTCACCAATGCGGTGAAGAGTGGCTTGTTCGGCCTTTTGGGATAATAAATGGTTGGCTGGTAGCCCTGGAGGAAAGGAGGGGGTCGTTGGAGCCCGGAGCCCAGAACCCCCGCCGCCCTGGCCCCCGCCCACATACTCACAAAGAGCTTGAGGTGCCGAGCGCAGACCAGGCCGTCTCCTCCGTTATTTCCAGGTCCGCAGATGACCAGGACCGCGGGGGGGCTCCGGGACATGGACGTGGGGGGGTAGGCCTGGGGTGGGGGGTCGCAGGGGGGTTAGAAGAGCTCCGGGCCAGACTAGCGCGCTGTCCCCGCCACTTGCCGTGCCCAGGCCACTGACCTTAGCAATGGCTGTGGCGCAGCTCAGCCCAGCCAGCTCCATTAGCTGGTCCACGCTGAACTGGTACTCGTTGAACAGCTCCTCGTCCACCGCCTGGGCCTCCTCCTGGCTGCGGACACCCACCGCCTCAGTCTGCGCCCCCGGGCGCCCGGCGCGCGGCCCGGCCCAGTCCCCGCCCCGGAGCAACCCGCCGAGCCTCGCCTACCTCAGGTACTTCACCGCAGGGCTCGCCATGCCTGCCGGCTCCCCGCCGCCGCCCGAGTGTGGTCGCCGCGCCTCCCACCACGCGGACCCCGCAGGGCAGGCTCCGGCCCGGCCCGGGACCCGCCTCAGGCGCGAGCCGGCTGCCAGAAGCCCGAGCCCGAGCAGCGCTCGCAGCGCGGACATGAAGCTCGCCCGGCGCATGCGCAGCGCCGGCAACGCCCCCTGGAGGTGGGGCCGCAGGCTCGCCCCGCCCCCTCGAGCGGGCGCCGGGCCGCGCACTCCCGGGGCCCGGACGCTTTGCTGAGGGCCGCGTTGGTAACAGTAGCTCCTGGGTCGCGGGCGGCCCCTTAGGGGCCGCTGGTGGCAGGGCGGGAGGCCCGGGTCCCGGCCCTGGGACTTCCGGCGGAGTGGACACCGGCACCCCTGCCTCCAGCGCCCTGTAGCTCGCGTTCTCCTTTACGCTTTAGGCTGGGCTGCTCCCGCGACTCGGTCCTCACCGGAGGGACAGCGTGGTGGGTAGGAGGGGTTCCCATCCCAGCGGGGCGTTAGAAACGAACGGGCTCGGTGCGGCGGAGCCGGTGCCCAGGCGCTGGGTCGTTTGTGCACCCGACCCTGAGCAGGTGGAGTCCGCCGAAGGAAAGAGGTGTCGTGCCGCGGAGCAGGGCTGTGCGGCCAGCGAGCAGCAAGCAGCAAGCGAGCGCAGAAGCTGGGAATAGCTCAGCCCCGAGGCCGGCTGCACTGCTGTGTACGTGTCGTTTAGGGCCCCCGCCCCAACTGCATTGGGGGCCGACCTGCCTCCGCCCGCCAGGATAGCACGCTGCTGCATTTCCTTAACCGGACGGAATGCCCATCCTCCTTTATCCGGATTATACCTGTGGAGAGGTGCCTGGCCGGCTCAGTCAGGAGCCTGCAGCTGGTCATCTCCGGGTCATGTGTTCTAGTACTTAGAATCTTTTTTTTTTTAAGATTTTATTTATTCATTCATTCATGAGAGACACAGAGAGAGAGAGAGGCAGAGACACAGGCAGAGGGAGAAGCAGGCTCCATGCGGGGAGCCCCACGTGGGACTCGATTCCGGGTCTCCAAGGTTGCGCCCTGGGCCAAAGGCAGGCGCCAAACCGCTGAGCCACCCAGGCTGCCCAGATTACTTAGAATCTTAAAAAATGAATAAAAGTAATCTCCACACCCAAGGTGGGGCTCAAACCCATGATCTAAGAGCAAGAGTCATAGGCTCTTCTGACTGAGCTTTCCAGGCAACCCCCAAAGACTTATTTCTAAAATACAGGGTGGGCACGCCTGGGTGGCTCAGTGGTTGAGCGTCTGCCTTTGGCTCAGGGCTGATCCCAGAGTCCGGGATTGAGTCCCACATCGAGCTCTTTGCATGGGGCCTGCTTCTCCTGTCTCTGCCTCTCTCTCTGTGTCTCTCACAAATAAAAAAATAAATAATCTTTAAATAAAATACGGGGTGAAGCATGCTTTTTTTGAGATGACATTTGGATATTTACATGTACCATGTGCTAAATGAATCAGTTCATCGTATCCTTGTGGCAACCCTGTTATTCCCATTATTCCCGTTTTACAGATAAGACAACAAAGACTCAGAGATATTGAATGACATGCCCAGTGATACAGTGGTAACTGCTGGTGGTAGAGGTAGGGTCCAAGCAGCTTGATCTAGAGTCTGCACTCTAAACCATTACTGCACTGCCCCCTTCCCAAGTGCGGAAATATGTAATTAAAGTGCTGTCGCTGCTGACTTCATTCTGAAGGATGTGAGAGTAAAATAGTGACACAGATATACCCCACTGCGTGCCCCCCAGAATGCATTAGACAACCACATGAGGGCTATCCCCAGGAAAGTGGAGCCAAAGACCTACTCCATCTCATTGCTGCCTTTCACACTTCTAGAGTTTTCTTCCAGGGAAATGCCTTAAAAACAAATCTAGGAAGGGCACATGAATTGAGCCCCTGCTGAGTTCCAGATGCTTATAAAAATCGTCCTGTTGGGGATCCCTGGGTGGCACAGCGGTTTGGCGCCTGCCTTTGGCCCAGGGCGCGATCCTGGAGACCCGGGATCGAATCCCACGTCGGGCTCCTGGTGCATGGAGCCTGCTTCTCCTTCTGCCTGTGTCTCCGCCTCTCTCTCTCTCTCTCTCTGTGACTATCGTAAATAAATAAAAATTAAAAAAAAATTGTCCTGTCTATCCTATGACATATTTTCACCCTCACATTATAGATGAGGAAATTGACTAGCACAGGGAAGTCATTTCCTAAGATAATACAGCTATTAAATGGTAGAGCCAGTGACAGTTGATACGGGGTTGGCCCGACCAAGTGACAGTATTCCCATGGCAGATGCTGCTACTTGTCCGTCAAAAATCCATTCTCCTCTCTTCCTTTGGCAGCAGAATCCCTGATTTATCTGGTCACGTGGCTGCCTAGTTCAACACTACACTTTCCAGTCTCCCTTGCAGCAGCTGCACATACATGTGATTACACTCTGACCAATGAGGTCTGAGCAAAGATGACGTGCCATGTCCTGCCTTTTAGAAAACGCGTTTTCCAGCACTTCCTCTTTTTCTTCCCCTGGCTAGGAGGAAGGTGCTCTGGCGCAGCCTGGCAGCCATTTTAGGCCAGGGCATGGGAATCCCGTGTGGAGGACTGCAGAGCACCCCTCATACTTCCCCAGCTCTGAGCTCTGAGCTCCAGGAAGCCACCACATTGCCCGGGGCTGCTTTCTTTCTTTCTTTTTTTTTTTAAACATTTTATTGGGGGATCCCTGGGTGGTTCAGTGGTTTAGCGCCTGCCTTTGGCCCAGGGCGTGATCCTGGAGTCCTGGGATCAAGTCCCGTGTCAGGCCCCTGGCATCGAGCCTGCTTCTCCTTCCGCCTGTGTCTCTGCCTCTCTCTCTCTCTCTCTCTCTCTATGTCTATCATAAATAATAAATAAATATTTTTAAAAAACATTTTATTTATTTATTCATGAGAGACACAGAGAGAGAGGCAGAGACACAGGCAGAGGGAGAAGCAGGCTCCCTGCAGGGAGCCCGATGTGGGACTCCATCCTGGGTCTCCAGGATCAGACCCTGGGCCAAAGGCAGGCACTAAACCACTGAGCCACCCAGGGATCCCCTGGGGCTGCTTTCATAAGAGAAGAACAAAGTTGTCTCTGCTTACAGGCACAGTTACATTGGGCTTTGTTACAGTAGGTGAACCTGCATCCAAATCAAGACATCTTGAACCCCTGACAGGATTCCAAGGAAGGTGAGCAGTTGTGTCCCCAGCTGTTAGCTCCATGCTGGACCCACAGGTCCTCTACAGATATTTCAATGAATCCTCAAAAATCTCATGGTGAGGTAAAGTAGTTCACAGTGTCGTAGAAGCCCTCCCCTCTGACATGACTAGGAATGAATTATTTTATTTCAACTTAAAACAAAAAAGTAGGGGCAGCCCAGATGGCTCAGCGGTTTAGCGCCGCCTTCAGCCCAGGGCCTGATTCTGGAGACCAGGGATCGAGTCCCACATCAGGCTCCCTGCATGGAGCCTGCTTCTCCCTCTGCCTGTGTCTCTGCCTCTCTCTCTCTGTGTGTGTGTCTCTCATGAATCGATAAATAAAATCTTAAAAAAAAAAAAAAGAAAAAGTACATTCATTTGCCATCTGTCCAAGTGTGGCCAGGGTCTTCTCTCTGAGGACGGGCCCATGATTGGAGCTCCCCATCCTTCCTGCATAAACCTCATTACAGATTGCCTACAATTTCCAGTCCGCTTCCTTAAGCTGGAACAACTGATGGCATGTTTGGAGCAATCTGAATGCAAAATTCATCTAGATTTTTACTATTTTGCCCCAAGATGTGATCATTGTCTTGCTCACATCTAATTCAATAGCAGTTTTTGAATTGACTCACCTTAATCAAGACCTCTAAGGATTCAACTTCATTTTCATACAAACAGTGCTTGTTTTCACACTTAGGTCATCAATTTATATAATATTTAATTAAAGCACAAAGTACAGTTACATATGGCATAAGCACATTTGGTACCAACACAATCAACTCTTGGTGAACATTAGCATAAGTAGGGGGTAGCAGAACCACACGGCATTCTAGAGGGTGCTCACTGTGCAGGTTTGAATCCCGGCTTCCCCATTCATTAGCTGTATGGCCTGGGAGGAAAGTCATTAACCTTTGTGCTGTCTTTGCCTCATCTGTGAAAGGGGGTCATCTGCTGCGAGGACTGCAGGAGAAAACATGCGTGAAGCACTCAGAACAGGGTGTGGTGTGTGCTGAGTGATCATCATGCCTTACAAAACATGGTGGCCACTGACAGCAGCGGTCCCAATGGGCCTGAGGCATTGCCTCCCCCACCCACAAGGAAGTGGAGAAAAGTGGAGCACATCAGTGGGTTAAGATGCATCCTCTGTAGTATTAGATCCTCATTTCCCCTTCAAGAAGATGGAGGTCAGTCAGGAGACAGTTCACAATGGCAAAATGTCCTGACTACTATGTCACAGCCAAGCTGACAAGAGCCTTCGCAATCAAGAGGTTTGGATCAGGAAGGAAAAAAGGGGAAATTCACTGTCCACTTTTACTTTTTCTTTTGCCCATTGAGTCTGAAACTCCCAACAAGGAGCAAACTGCACACCTTGGCACCCAGACTGCAAAGGCCCTGTTCAGCCTACACAGGAGCCCACTGTTTGGTGATGTTACATCACCTGTCCTTAGAGCACTGAACAACCAGGAAAAGGCTTGGTCCTGGAAACCCCTAATGTTTGTGCGTCAGGGAGGTACCAAGGAGGCCACGTTCACGGTCAGCTGAGTGGAGTCATATGATGGCACAGAAGCCAGACTCGGTGGGTCTCCTCTGAGAGTTCCCGCTGGGGGTCTCCCTGGACCAGCTGGATGACCTGCAGGAGGCAGGGAGGGGCTTGCCAGTGGGGCTGACTGGGGAAAGAGCAGAGGGCAGCTTCCCTGGCCTTTATGTCAGGTGCTGGGCCCCAGGGCAAGAGGGGGAGGCTTGAGCGCCCACCCCAACCCTCAACTGTGTTGAGGTCAGCAGGATTCTCCCTCTCTGGGAGGCATCCAGTCAGGCTGCACAGGAGACCGGGGACACCCCAGACTTCCAGAACTGGGTGAGTGCTGTTCTGATTGCTCAAGGCTAAAGACAAACAGGCTCCAAGCACCAGATCCCCCAGGCACTGGGCCAGACTTCCTCCCAGTTTTTTTTCTTTTAAGATTTTATTTATTCATGAGAGACATATATATATATATATATATAGAGAGAGAGAGAGAGAGAGGCAGAGACACACAGGCAGAGGGAGAAGCAGGCTCCATGCAGGGAGCTGGACGTGGGACTCAATCCCGGGTCTCCAGGATCACACACTGGGCACTGGGCTGAAGGCGGCGCTTAAGCCACTGAGCCACCCGGGCTGCCCGTTTTTTTTTTTTTTTTTTAAGATTTTATTTATTTATTCATGAGAGACACAGGAAGAGAGAGACGCAGAGACATAGACAAAGGGAGAAGCAGGCTCCATGCAGGGAGCTCGATGTGGGACACAATCCCGGGACTCCAGGATCACACCCTGGGCCAAAGGCTAAACTGCTGAGCCACCCAGGGATCTCCCCCTCCTCCCAGTTTGAATGGTGATCATGTTCCCTTAAAAGCATCTGAAGCCACAACTCCCCCACCCCTTTTATCTATCTCCAGGCCTCCTCTGCTTCCCCAGGAACCCACCTATTGGCTTGGGGGCCATTGGGCACCAGAGTGCCAGGCTGCTCCATTCGGAGGGGGTGTTGGCCTCCAAGTGGGAGATGGGCCCTGGGTCCTAGACCTGGGTGGGGAGGGACAGGCACATTTGTCACAGGCCTCTGCACCGAGAACATGGGGGAAAGAGAAAGCTTTGGGAGAAGAGCAAGGGTGGTGGGTGTTGGGATGGGTGCACTGGTCACTGACTCAGAGGAAGCACCAGAGACTACACTCTGTACAGGGCAGGTGTTCAGAGCAAGCCTGGGGGACTCCCTGCTGCTTTGGGGAGAACACTAGACAACAGCAAGTAGCCAAGAGCTCTGCCCCAGATGGCAAAGCCTTTGAGGAAAGAGGCTGGTAAATAGTGAACTAGGGCAAAAAATCACCCCATACTTGGCATGGAGTAGGCTTTCAATGAAACTTGGTACTCTAATTGCAAAGTTCTAGAGGCTAGGAAAGCCACGGAAGCCAGGAGGCAGAGGTGACTGTGGGAGGGTTTGGGGAAACTGGCCAGGGCCTGGAGACATGACCTGGGCAGGGGAGAGGGTCGTTGGGCCTAAGCGGCTGTTGGGGTCCTGGCTGTCCAGGAACCGAAGGGGCTGGGACAGGGAAAGCGCTCCCATTTTCAGGGAGGAGATGCCCAGCTGGGGATGGCCTTCTCCCACTCACACTCCAGTCTCTGTGCCCAAGATGCCACGGGGACATCCGCCGGCAGCTGGTCCTCTCTCTCCTCCTGGCTCTCCTCGCACGCTTCTTCTTCACACCTACCCCAAGACCTGGAGGGACAGAGAGCAAGGGGGAGAACGGAACCTAGGACAGGTCCCCTCCTCTGTGGGGTGCCTGCAGGCCCCAACCCCCCCACCGGGCAGCTGCACACCTCCAGTGTACCTCCTCCCCTACGCTGGAGCTCCGGCCCCACCCCACTTACCTGTGCCACACTTCCGCTCTGCCCCTTCCCACCCCAGCTGGGGGCCTGGCCACTCCACCTGGAGCCTGGGGTCTCCCTGGAGCCGAAGTCTGGGAATGGTGGGGAGCAAAGGAACCAGTGAGGGGTGTATCCATGGGCATATGTTCCCTCCACAGGCCATGCCCCACAGAGACAGACATGTTACAGACTGGGGTGTGCCACCCAGCTAAGAGTGGAAACCCACGGAGAGATCTACACTAGCGACTCTCAAATTAGAATCAGGCTCTGGGACCATCAGGCCTGGCTGGAGCCTGGTCTCCAACCCACCCTGCCTGGGGCCTCTGGAGGGAAAGTCACAGAAAGCTGGTGGCCGCCTTCAGATGGACCCCAGCTCTTCTACCCCCCCACCCATCCAGTTTTCTGCCTGGAGTAGACTAATTTAATTTTGCTTGCAAATTATAAATAGAGTATCCTGGTCTTTAAGAGAAGACATAAACCTCATTAAATAAACAGAATAAATATTAAATATTAAGGTATAATTTAAATTCCTGGGTGGGAGGTTGGTTCCCTGAGATATCTCAAGGTGAGGAGAAATTGGACCTGCTGAGAGGCTAGGAGGCAGACAGAGAGTTGGGGGGAGCCAGAGAGGAAGGGGACGGTGGAGACCCACACAAAGAAGCACCCCCCCAGGATGGCCTGGGAGGGGACCCTCCCTGGAGCACTGCCCCCACCCTGTGGCCTTTTGTGGAACTGCAGCCAAGGACTTAAGAGTTTCCACCTCCTCCAGGTAGGGCTCGGCGTCCTTTTTTTTTTTTTTTTTAAGATTTTATTTATTTATTCATAGACACACAGAGAGAGAGGTAGAGACACAGGGAGAGGGAGAAGCAGGCTCCATGCAGGGAGCCCGATGTGGGACTTGATCCCCGGTCTCCAGGATCACACCCCAGGCTGCAGGCGGAGCCAAACCGCTGCGCCACCAGGGCTGCCCTAGGGCTCAGCGTCCTTGATTGCATCCCTTGGCTTCAAGTGCTTGGTTAGTTACCACTGAGGCAAGGAGCTGGCACAGCCTAGTCCTGGGAGACGTGCCACAATCCCCTGGTCCCCTTCCCACCTCCCCGGTGTCCTTGGAAAAGTGATATACGTGTCCCCTCTGTGGGCTTCAGGGCAGAGAAACACACAGGGGTTCTCTGGTGCCGCATCTCTGCGGACCTGAGCTGTTTACCACCACTCCTTCTCTGGTCACCTCTCCCCACCCCCAGCTCCTCGTCTCAGGTGTCACCTCACCAGACTGTAGGTCGGTACAGGCCCCGCCTGGGCCAAGTGGGTTCTCATGGCATCTGCCAGCTTGGCCACCAGCCGATCCCGCACAGAGTCTGGCTCCTTCTGGGGAGTGGGTAGAGAATGGGGGATGGGAATGCCTGGGCTAGGAGCTCCTCTGGGGATTGGAGAAGCAAGAGACTGGAGAAGGGGAGGGAAGGCGGCTTTGTCTTCTCTCTACCCAACCCCCGGGCCCTTGCAGCACCCTGCTACCGCCTGCCCAGAACTGTGAACAGAGACCAAGGCCTCCTCACAACAGTACCCTGGGACCTAGCCCACGGTGTGCCCGATACATGTTTGCTGAGTGGAAGGATGGCAAGAAGACAGAAGGCAGGACTGTCAGCAGAGGAGGCTTCCTGGAGGCACAGCAGGAAGAGTGAGGTTCTGGGGTGGGTGGTCCTACCTGACTCCGGGCCAGTGCTTCCTTATAGTACCACAAGGCCTGGTTGTGCTGCCCCAGCCTGGCTGCTGCGGCCCCCAGCCCCTCACAGGCCTGCCACTGCCCCTTTGTGTCCCCTGGAGAAGAGAGCCCAGGAGGTCCTCTCATGGGTCCCTGCATCACCGGCCCTCCCTTCCAGCCATACCCCCACCAGCCCCCAAGGACCCTCAGCCTGGGCCCTTGCCACACCACCTGCTAATGCCTCACCAGTATCCCGGGCAGCCTGTAGGGCATGCAGGTAGTTGTCTCTGGCTGCTCTGTGGTTCCCCAGCTGACTCAGTGCAAATGCCAGGCTGCCGAAGCTGCGGCCCTGCTCCTGCCGCTGCCCCACGGAGCCTGAGGACAGAGCCGGCCCCATCCTAAGAGGGGTCTTTGGCTGCAACCAGGGGTGGCTCCCAGGAGTCCCGGTGCTCAGCCCTGGCACACCTCCAGGTGTACCACAGACACCTCCACTCTCAATAGCCTCTCTTCAGGCCTGAGTGCATGTGTCCCTCCCTGCTCCGCCCCACCCCTCACTAGTATGAGCCATGCAACAACCCTGCCAGGCAGGCAAAGCAGGTGTCAATAGTTCTCCTCTTACCTGTGTGGAAACTGAAGCTCAGAAAGCCACAATGAATGTCAAGTCACACAAGTATTTGGTGGGAGGAGGCGCTGGCCTCACTTCAGGCCTCCTCTTCCGGCTGGGGCTCTTCCAGCTGCCCACTGCTGCCTCCCCAATCCCAGGATTCAGCCTCTGAGCCCTCAACCCCCTGTCCCGCCTACCTACCCAATCTCCCACATTCCCAGCCCTTACCCCCTGCTTCGGGACTTCCCGGTCCCATGCCCGTCCCTAAAGGTCTGCCCACTCTTGGGCCTTGAGCCCCAGCTGGAGCCTTCTCTTAATCCGGATCCCTGGCTCCGGGCCCTGGTACCCACCATGCAGGTCAGCTGCCTTCCGGTGAACATCCCGGGCTTCCTGATAGTTGCCAAGGGCACTGTGGGCTGCTCCGAGATTTGTCAGCACCATGGCCTCCTCTCCTGGCCCCCGGCACAGGGGCAGGGCCCGCAGGAAGGCTTCAGCTGCTAGCGAGAACAGTTGGAGCTGGGAGTAGCTCAGGCCCAGGTCGTTATAGAGCTGCCCTGAGGGTGTGGCCAGGGGCACAGGTAGCCAGGTCAGATGCTGCTGAAGCTGTATTGTGGCCCCCTGTCCCACTCTCCCAGGGTCCTCCAACCCCCTACCCTCAGAAAAGTCCCTGTATGTACCCCACCTCTCAGTATCTCCTGGTCTGAATGTCCCCAGACCCCACACCTCCTCTGCCCAAGGGCCTCACCCAGCAGTCCCTGCTCAGGACTCCTCTCAGCAAGCCTCTGGCTCTCCTCCAGCACCTGTACTATGTCACCCACCCCGTGTTGCCCACTCTTCAGCATACAAGCTGCTGCAGCCCCCAATGCCAGGGCTGCATCCTGGGGCTGCCCTGCTTGGACGTAGGCCTGGCTTGCTTCCTGCAGACAGTGGGCTGCTAGTGCGGGCTGTCCCAGAGCCCGGTAGCAGGCTCCCATTTTTGCTTGGGCCTGCCCCTGGTCACCTAATGGGTGGTAGTGACCCAGGGCCCTGTGGTACCAGGCCAAAGCTTGGGGCAGCTTTCCCAGGGCCTGGTAGGCCAAAGCCACGTTGAAACATTGGTCCCCATGACCCCTGCCCTGTGCCTTCTCTTCAGGTTGGGCTCGCAGGAGCAGCTTGAGGCCTCTGGCTGGGTCCCCCGTCTCCACATAGGCGGCCCCCAGGTTGAAGGCACAGGCCCGGAGAACAGAGGTGTCCTGAGTTTGTGGGGCCTCAGAGGCCAGGATGAAGGCCCTCTGGAAGCTGGTCAAGGCTTCATGGTTCCGGCCAGCCAGTAGGGCTCCATGGCCAGCCCTGGTGAGGGCTTGGATGCTGGCCTCTTGCTGTGGCCACTTTTGCTTCTTTTTCTTCTTGGAGGTTGAGGGTTCAGGCTCTTGGGGGACATCTTCAGGGTTGGAGAAAGACATAATGCTAACAGTGGGGAGCAGAGGGGTCAGTGTGTCACCCTTGGCTTCCTCCACAGCAGGATCCCTGTGGAGTAATTCAGCCCTACTCCTGCCCTGCTGTGACCTCTGCCATCTGACTCTGTGTCATGGATCCTGCTGGGTGCCATATCAACCCTTACTCCAGTGTTCTGACTCATTCATTCTTAGTCTTTTGGGACCCAGGTCAAGGAACAGCTCCCAGAGAGCTTCCTCCCTCAACCATCTGTGTCTTTCTGGGCTCCCAGAATGCCTCACACCCATGTCCTTTATAGCACTTGTCATGCCAGGCTGAAATTGCTGACTTTCTTGTCTATCTCTACTAGATTTGGAGGAGTATGAGGGTCTGGCACATAATAAGTCCTCCATAAATGTTCATCGAATGAGATGGGCACAATAATGCGAGTGTACCTAATGCCACTGAGCGGTGCACTTAGAAATGGCTTAACAAGGAGTGCCTGGGTGGCTCAGAGGTTGAGCGTCTGCCTTTGGCTCAGGTCGTGTGATTCCGAGGACCTGGGATCAAGTCTCATGTCAGGCTCCATGCAGGGAGCCTGCTTCTCCCTCTGCCTATATCTCTGCCTCTCTCTGTGTGTCTCTCATGAATGAATAAATATTTTTAAAAAATGGCTTAACAAGGTAAAAGTCATGTTATATGTATGTTACCATGATACAAAAAAAAAAAAAAAATCCTCATTAGGATGCCCGGGTGGCTCAGAGGTTGAGTGTCTGCCTTTGGCTCAGGGTGTGATTCTGGGGTCCTGGGAGTGAGTCCCACATTGGGCTCCCCACAGGAAGCCTGCTTTTCCCTCTGTCTATGTCTCTGCTTCTCTCTGTGTGTCTCTCATGAAAAAAATAAATAAAATATTTTAACTAAATAAAATAAAAATTTTAAAAACCACCCCCCCCCAAAAAATCCTCATTGAAGGAATAAACAAATAGACAGGTGAACAGAGCACATGCAGGGCCTCACCCCCATCACCTCCTTCACACTGTTCTCCCATGGACACCCATCCGCTCACAATCTGGGCACTCCTGCGCCTGATCTCAAGGTGTAGATCAAGTGGGCTCAGCAGACACCTGGTGAGCGCCTGCTGCATACCAGGGGCCTGCAGGGCACTAGGGATACAAAGCTGAGCAGGCTATTGAATTGGCAAGGATTTGGCTTTCAGGAAGGAGGATGCTGCCTTTCATTCACTGCCCTCTCCCTATCTCAGGAGACCTCTTTCCCCATAGCTGGCCAGTCTGGTCTCACCAGCACCTGCTCTGGTCTCAAATATGCTTCCCTCATCAGTATGTATTTCCTATAAGGGTCTCTCCCCTAGGAAGGCAAAGCCTCTTCCTGATTTCTCCTCCCAGGAGATGCGGGAAGGGGTGGCAGACTCAGGCCTGGTCTCTCAGCACCTCCTCTTTTCTTTGTCCTTCCCCCTGTTTTTTAGAAGAGGCAGGCAGAGGTGATTGTCTTTTTAAAGAAATTTCCCTTGCAAGTAGGAATACCAGGAATCCTGCCTTCAAGGCCCTCCTTCCTGGGGCATTCTTGGCTACCCCCGTCAGGCGTTGGGGCCCAGCCATGGGAAGACTTACCTCCCTCCATCTTCTCTGCTCTCTGAGGCTGGATTTCTGGAATGGTCCCTTTGGCTTGGGTTACCTGGCCAAGCTCTGAGCTCAAAGCCCTGGGGTTACCAGACAGTCAGGTACCGCCCTTCACTCCAGGGGGATTTTTTGATGGACAGCTCAGGTGCCCTATCATAGTGCTGAATCACTGATGGCGGCTGGGGGCACAGTTACCTGGATTCCATTGCCCTTCCAGCCCCACCATTCCCCACCTCATCCCTGCACACACCCCTCAAGTCCTGCACTGTGAGCAGGGAATCACAGCATGATGGCTTGTTACTAGTTACAACCTCAGGGATCGTCTCTCCCATACTCTCACTTTACGGAGGAGGGGAATCAGAAGCAAGTGGGACTTGACTGAGGTCACAGAGCAGCCACCGAGCTGGGATCAGACCCCAGGTTTTCTGATTCCTGGCTAATTAGCCCAGGGTTCCTTCCACCCTACTATGATCACAAGCTGTAACGAGGACTGTCCTAGAATGAACCCTTTCTCACACACACGCCCAGAGGCACATACCTACACACTGTGCTCCTGTGTGGTACATCTCACATTTGGGAATGGGGTTAAAGGTTGATGGTCAGGACAGTCTGGAGATCAGAAGAGTCTTTCTGCCCCCGAATCTTCTTCCCAAGCAGAGCTCCACGTTCTGCTTAATGAGAGGACAGCAGATCCCAGGACAGTGGGCACCTATTGTACTAACTCACCCAGGATGGCCTGGAGCAGAAAGCCAATCTCCTCATTTACCCTGGGGGAGTAGAGGGGCCTTTGCCAGAAACAAAGTTATAGGAAGTAGCAGGGCTCCCTTGCACTGGCTAGTGTGCCGGCACAGTGCTGGGTGCCATAGATGGGGCTTGTGTCCAAGGCAGGCTTTCTCAGCTGCCTGCAGTTCCTACCCACGGGCTGACCTCCAGGATGCCACCTCCATATGGCCAGGGCCAACACTCAGCTCAGTCCGTGGCCACTCGGTAGGCTTCCCTTCCGGGGAAAGGTTTGGGGAGGGTGCAGGGACTGAAACGACTCTCGCTGAGGTTCCAATGACCTCTCAATGGCTTGGTGATCATTTCTGAATCATTTGCTTGTTTGATTTCCACTTTATCTGACATATCCTTGCCACTGTCTCCTCACTTGGCTTCCAGGATCCACTGTATCCTGGCTCTTTCTCTTCCTCTGACACTTCCTTCTCTGTCTCCTTTGCTGGGCCCTCTGTCTACCCCTTAAATGCAAATAGTTTCCAACCCTCAGCCCTTTGCTTTTTTCTTACTTTACATACACTTTCATGAACATTCCATCCACTCGTCTGATTTTCACACCACTGATCAGCCAATAATTTCTAAACATATGAAAAAAAATTTCTAAACATATGTCTCTAGACTTGGCTTTTGTCCAAGCGACATTCCTGTTTCCTGCTATCTGCCCATCCCCCATTCCCAGTGTTCACTGGTTCACCACCAACTAGTCCAAGAGCTAGAAACATGGGAGGCAGCCACGACCTCCCCTCCTCCAGCTTATTCCTACTCGTTCTACCTCTGAGACTTCTCCCCTGCATGCCCTCTCCTCTGCAGCATCCTAGCCACAGACGTGGAGGTGGTGGTAGCACATGGTGGTAAGGAACTCAAGCTTGAAGCTACACTATCTGAATTTGTGTCTTGGCTCCACCAGTTTAGCTGTGTGACATTTCTAAGCCTCATTTCCCTCATCACTATAATGAAGATAAAACAAGATGATGCTAAATATAGTACCAGCATACCATAGACAATCAGTGCATGTTATTGCTGTGTGTGGTATCTAACCCCAGCATGTGAGAAGTACATCTCTCCTCAGGCCCTGTTTCCAGTCCCTGTTGCACTGGGATGGAGAAGACAGTGTGAGTCAGTTTGGTTCACCCCCTCCCTTCTCCCAGGGTGGAGGCCAAGGTGGAGGGAGTATGGGATGCTCCGACTTGAGAGGGAAGGCCCATTGAGTCCTTAGTCATCTACTTACTCTCCACCTGGCCCTCTCAGGCCCAGGAGCCCTTAACCCAAGGAGAAATGGGGGTAGCTCATCCATGTACTTCCTTTCTAGCTGGGGTGGGGGTTTCTGTACATCAGGGCCTTGTTAGCAACTGTTCCTTGTCAGGTCCTATGCTGCCATTGGCCTTCCCAGAAAGCAGGGAGTGGGCTTCTATCACCAGCAGTCTAGATTCCCTCTACTTTTCTGCGTGGTGAGCGAAGGGGAGCCACTCTCTACAAACCCCACAACTCCCACAGTTTTGTCTCAGCCCTGCATCTCCTCTGTTCCTCGGAAGGTTTGGATGATTTCTGTGTTCTACCCCTCTAGTGCCTCCCCTGAGGCTATGAGCATAGGCTGCAGCTTGACTGGGGCACTGGTAGGAGGGAGGGAGGGCAAAAGGAGAAATACCAGGTGGGGGAAGCCCATTAGGTAATATAGCAAAACAAAATTTTAGGACAGGTGTCATTATAATTATTCTGACTAGTTCAGGCCTTACTAGCTCTCACCTGTGCTTCTGCCTTACACTCTGGGTTGGTCTTTGGCCCTAGTGTCACCTGGCTCCAAGCCTCTGCTGCAAAATGAATCTTTGTAAAATGTGAACCGGGACTCGACCTATATGTAAAGTGTTCTTGAGCTTGTGGCTGCTCCCCAGACCGCATCCTGCTCTTCAGCCTGCTGTCTGGCATTGCAGCTGCTGCCAGCGTGTCTCTAGAGGTGCTCTTCCCGCCTCTCCCTGTCCGAACTCTGTTCACCTACAGAACTGCACCAATTTTCGTTTCCTGGGCTCCCTCCTTGGTCACAAGTGCTGTTTGCGCTAAGATTCCTCTCTCCTTCAGGCTGATGAAGTCTTGTTCCCTTTCCAACAAACATCAGCTATCACCTCCACTAGAAAGTCCTCCTGTCCTTCGCTGCCCTTAACTTCATTACCGTAGTAACTTCATTGCTGTAGCGACCTCATTCCTCTGAATATCGCTGACCTCTCATGTATTTTGACTGTCACTCATTCCAGAATAGCAGGTTATATATAGGGCATCAACTATGCTGATTTTTTAAGATATTTTATTTTTTAAGCAATCTCTACACCCAATGGGGGCTTGAACCTACAACCCCTAGATCGAGAGTTGCGTGCTTTACCGACTAAGCCAGCCAGGCGCTCCTGACTATGGTAATTTCTCTCTGCATCCGCACCATCTAGTTCACGCAAGCTGGCCCGCAAGTTAGCGGGAGCCAAGAACGCAACAGGAGGCGCAGCGGAGTTCCTGAGAACACTAGGGCAAATGATGGAGGAGAGGGTAGAGGAGGATCCCTAGAGGAACAGCAGCCCACCGCCGCGCGGAGAGGGAGATGCCGCTCCCACTGTGCCGCAGCACCTTCTTCTCCG